ACTTGTATCACCATATTGGTGTTTTTCACAAGGCCGTTTTTGCAAGAAGATAAGAAAGAAATGATGAAACTTAAATTAAAACACATAAAAACATATAGGAATACATATTCAGCAAAGAAATGTAAAATATTAACATATTAACATTATAAAGACAAAAGACTAAAAAAGTGATGTAATGACATTTCTTTTTTCTTTTTTTTGTTCATTATTCAAAATATTTAATTTTGTCAGTTATTTATTAGTCTTTTAAAAGTATAAATATTAGGAGCAGTTGTTCTAGATGTTTCTAGTTTGAACTTGCTTAGCCCTCACTTAAAGTATTTTTAAAATTTGAATTCACTTTCTTGTTGTTATACTTACCTTGGATTTCTAGAAGATTCTAATTTAAACTTATCTATCTCCCTTTGGAGGTATTTCTTTTCTTGTAGGATTCTTCTTTCACGAGCCATATGCTCTGAAACCTACAGTAAACAGAACCTACAAGTCAGATTGCAAGAAATAAATTACAATTCAACAGTTACATTAATATAACACAGTATTAACTAATGACATGCTACTATATTTTAACCCAATAAAACAAATTATACTTTAAAATTTTATACAAATTATTTAAATAACCACCTTTTTTGAAGCATTTGCAGCTCTATTTTCAGAATCTATGAGCTTCTGGTTTAGCTTCCTATTAACTTCTAAAACCTCAGATAACTTTTGTTCACTCTGGAAATAAAAGATTAAATTCTCATTATGGATAATATTATTATTAGTAGTAGTAGTTTTAATGACAGTAGTATGTCTCTATATAATAATAGGAAAAAATAAAATTGATTTTCATTATGTTTTCGAAAGCTGAGTTGCATATAATCTCATGGATTAACCATGGTGACCTTGATGCCATAATGAAAACTTTCTGCTATCGCTATCTCAGGAACTCCGAACTGACTGAGCCATCTCAGGCATCTCTGACTCCATAATGTCATCGGAAAGAGTCAGTTCTGCATTTAATGTCCACAGTCTATGTCCACAACTCTGAATTATAGAGAAAGATGCTTCCTACAATTGTGTTGATAGGAAGATCGCAGCATTTGCTTGAAATATGTGGCTCATTTGAATGTAAGTGACTTGCGATGTCTAAATTTACACTATGCATCTAAGTAATTTCCTAGACACTTGTAATTACGCAATTCACCTGAACCATTTGCCGATATGCAAACATGCTCGGTCTAAGAAGTTTTAATATTTAGCTGTCTTGTTTGGAGACTATGAGTAATGTCAATTAATGATTGGGAGTTGGATAC